TCTTTCCCTTATGCCCTCCCCCATTCTTCCTTCCAGCCCCACTCCATCCATCAGTTCTTCCACGAGGTTAGTCAGCTCTGCCTACGGCCATCTCTGCCAATGCCACTAGGCCGGCCACCAACACCTCTCTCCTGCTTGATCTCCCTGCTCCTGCTCGGTCACCCCTAGTCTTTTCCATTGTCATTCTGCTTATAGTCCTTCTGTGCTTCATGAGAAAATTCCGCCCCTGAGCCATTCTTCTCAACAGACTCTTCCCTGTTCTTGAGCCCTTGACGTTCTATATCAGCTATCATGGGGCCTTACTGTTTCTTGGAGACCACAACCTTGTCTGCCTCCCAGGACTTTGCATTTTCTGTTCCCTCTGTCCAGAATTCACTTCCCCAGATCATCCCATGGCTGGCTGCTGGCCATTCCGACCTCTGCTCCAATGTCATCTCCTCAGGGAAGTCCTCTCTGATCACCACAGCCAAAGTGGTTCCTCCCCAGAGGAACTGTCTCCCCCACTCCCCAATTGCCAAACAGCATCTTCGTTTACTTTATAGTGCCTACAATGGTCTGAAATGCCCCGGTTTACTCATTTGTGACAGACACAGTCACTGTCTCTCTTCAGAGCTCCTTGCGGAGAGGACCTTGCCTGTGGGGCACACTTCTCCCCGTATGGTGCCTTCCCGTTATAGGTGTTTGATATGCAGATGTTCGGTGAACAAGTTGAGGGCGATAGGAACTTTCTTTGCAATAGTCACAGGCATCCTCTGGGACAGTCATGTCCAGAATGGGATGCTCGTACTCCAGGAATAAAATAGACCGTCCATTTACAACTGACAAGGACTTTTTTTCAGAATTATTTTTATTTAACTTATTTATTTATTTCAACTTGACCAGAGAGGGACAGAGAGAGAGAAAATGAGAAAGCAAGCTGCCAGGTCTGAGACTTGAACCACAGTCAGCCACGTGGGAGTCCAGTGCCCTTAACAACCACGCTACCTGTCAGTCCCTCACAATGACTTTTTAAAGTTGTTTTTTGTTTTGTTTAGTTTTTTGTTTGTTTGTTTTGTTTTGTTTGTAGTAAAACATGTACATACAAGAGAGTACACAGAACATGCATCAACAGGCTTCATGTCTCTTTACTTGCCAGAGGGTGTTTGTACTTCAGAGAGAGAAAAGGAGAAAGTAGTCCCTAGGGGGTGTGGTCAGACAGCAATCTCGTCCCCATCTCTCTCACCTGTTGGGATTTAGGGCATGTATATACATGTGCCTGGAATGTTTTTCAAACACCAGGGTAGAGATTCAAACCATGTGATTGGGATCTGGCTCCCTTAACTAATAGGCTCTGGACTGGCCCACAAACAGACGTTTTTCTGAGGTTCATTTATTTCTTTTTTCCTGAGAGAGATAAAGAGAGATAAAAAGAGACAAGTGCTCATGATAGGATCTTCACTCTGAGGTCCTCCCCCTTGCCCTGCAGCCAGTCAGAATGACTGCATGTGCCAAGGGTGTGGAAGTAGATTCAGGACCCGAACCTGGAGCCTGCCCCCACAGGGGTAAGTGGGCAGTGCACCACTGCCTCCACCTCTGCAGCTGCACCACCGGGCCTTTTTAAATGAACAACTGTGCACGTGAAACTTCACGTCACCACGCCCTGGCTTTCCTTCCCAGTTTTACCAGAGATGACTCTGACACAGCGTAGGGTTTTTCTGCATGTTTTAAATCTCATCTCCGATGAGATAGTCTTCCCATAAACTGAAGTGAGTTGCTTTCTTTGCTCAACATTGTGTTTGTGACATGTTCGTCTTTTTGTATTGTTGTTTCTTAAAAAGAGGGACTAGCAGTTAGCGTAATGGCTATGTTGCTGGACTCCCATGTAGTCGACCGCGGTTCGAGTCCTGGACCTGGTGGCTTAAACTCACGCCAGGTGCATGTGCATGCGTGCCCAAGATCCCAAGAGGAGAATGGAGGAGAAGGGATTGCAGCGTGGCCATCCCCCTAGGGGGTGATTTCTCACTTTCTTTCTCTCTGTCTCTGTCATTCTGGCGGGCGCACGCACCCTGTAGCAAAAACCTCTCCAAATAAATAAATAAATAAATAAAAAGAAAAGAAATGAAGTTTCGCTAATATTGAGTATCCAATATTAGTGAATATTCACTATACCTGTTCATACAAACGCCTACGTGGACATTACGAATCTGCAGGTAAATGCACAGGGGTTAAAGGTGCAGGACTGAAACGCTGGGAGATCTCTGTGGGAGGCAATGAGGTAGTCGGGCCCAGGCATCAAGGGAGAGGTCTCTAGGCTGCCCCATGCCCCATATCTTCTTGGCCTAACATCACTGCCCTGTGTTCCCCTTCCAGTGGCTTCTCCTCGGTGGTAGCTCTGGGCGCAAGCATCATCTGTAACAAGATCCCAGGCCTGGCTCCCAGACAGCGGGCAATCTGCCAGAGCCGGCCCGACGCCATCATCGTCATAGGAGAAGGCTCGCAAATGGGCCTGGACGAGTGTCAGTTTCAATTCCGCAATGGCCGCTGGAACTGCTCGGCGCTGGGGGAGCGCACAGTCTTCGGAAAGGAGCTCAAAGTGGGTATGTGCTCATCCAAACACCCAACGACCCACGCAAGGACTTAGGGGAAGGCCAAAACACCCTGGGAGCCCTATGGAACCCCCTCACCTGCCCCATGCTCGCATGCCCCTTGATAAGGGACCTTGTCAGTGCAATGATGAATCTGGGTCTCCCGATGAGGATCAGGATTCTGTTTGAACACAAACCATCCCAACCATTGATTGGCAAGGTTGTAAACCAGCAACCAGCTTCCAAACGGTGATTGGCTGATAATGTGCTGCTGTTGTTTTAAACTGAAGCCCAAATTTAAAAATAATAATAATAATAATAATAATAAAATAAAATCCTGTTTTACCTGAACATACGGGTTTCTGACCTCTCTTGAAAATCTGCAGATCTACCAGTGGCTTTCACTCACACATGCCCACCTGGTCATCACTAACTGGAGCTGAGAGCACAGCTTCGCAGTCACTGCCACAGTGCTCCCCACTCCCTCCCTGCTGCCCTGCCTGCACAATTCCATCGCATGATCTGCCTGCCCCTGTGGGCTTTTGTCTTTGCAACCCCTGCTTTGTGGCAATGTGTGTGAGGACTTGTATGCACACAAGCACACACGGTTTTGAACCGCATATTTGACTTCTGAAACAATTATGGTAGACGAGGATGGCGAGAGATGCTGGTCTCCAGGAGTCCCTTACTGGCAGGCAAAGGCCATGTGGTATGTCTTGTCACTTGTGTGCCTCTGGACTGGGGGGCCCAGGAACTTCACTGCAAGTCAGGTCAGCCCCAGATCTCTCTGGACTTGGGTCACTCCCTGTAAGTCTTGCCTTCTCGGATGGCTCCCTTGAGTTCTCTTTCTCCCTCAGCCCCGCATAGCAAGTTCAGTAGAGGATTGAAAAGACCCACTCCCAACCCAGCCCCCTTTCCATGTCTTTACTGCCTCCCCTTGTCACACTGCTGTCACATCTAGGGCCCCCACGTTACCCCATTTCCCTGTTGCTCCTGGCCACCCTGCAGGCCCTTGTGCACCTAGCTGGCAGGCTTATCCTTTAAAATGGAAATCAGATTATATCATTATCCTGGTTTAAACGCCTTGGACGTATCAGAATGAAATCCCAACTGCTCCTCTGGCCTCCTCTGACCTCTGCCCCGTCTACTCCATCCTCCTTCTTCTCCTTATTTACTCAGCCTGAGCGCCACACATTCCTTCTGTCCTTGACTCCTGGCTCAAGTTCTTGGTGTGCAGGGCACCCTCCCTGCATGCAGGTCTCCTAGAGCCTCCCCGATCAACCTGTCTCCCTCAAAGACCATCCCATCAGCCAGGCACTTGGTGCTGTGAGAATTCATCCCTGGCCCATTTGGAATGTCAGGGATGCTTTCGAGGGCAAGGCTTCACTGCCCTGGTCAACACTGATGCCTTCTTTCCCTTTCTTCTTGTGAGGAAGCATAACCTTTTCCCAGTCCTGGAGCAGGTCTCAGTTTGTTCATATTCTTATTCCCACCTAAGTGAGCCATAGATAGGACCCCAGGTTCAGGGTGGCATTAGCAGAGAGCTCGGTGGCCTTGCTCCTGTAAAGCCCTTTCTGCAGTCATGTCCTTTCTGGGATCTTTATTGTTTATCATTTTGCCTCCCACCACGTGCCCCTCTTCTCTCTCTTCCCAATCTTGGGGCTCACTTTTCAGGTAGAAAACTGAGACCAAAAAAGAGGATGGGGCTGTCCCAGTTCAGGCAGGCCAGGGGTATCAACACTAGGACAGTAACTGAGGTTGCTGAAATCCCAGTGCTGAGGCCTATCCTTGCTTGTCACCTGTTTTTCTTCTGCTTTCTCTTATTCAAATCTTACCCCCCACCGCCAACCCTCATTTTTGGAACCCAGGACTGGGATCTTGGCAATATTCTTAACTTGTGGCTTTGTTGACATATGAGAGGTTATAGATAAGGAAACTGAGACTCGGAAGGGACTTACCCAATTTTTTTTTTATTATAAATTTTTTCTTTTCTCATCACAACACACATATGAATTTTCCATCCAAAATACACTGTGCATTGGCTCAATCAAGCACATCAACATATATGTTCTCAGCAAATGATTTCCCAATTTTTGTGTCCTGCATACCTTGCCTTTTGTTTTGCCATCCTAGGTTCCCCATCCCCACCCTCTGCCATGTCCCATCTTCCTCCTCCATTGTTGTCAGGGATGCTTTTGAGGGCAAGGCTTCACTGCCCTGGTCAACACTGATGCCTTCTTTCCCTTTCTTCTTGTGAGGAAGCATAACCTTTTCCCAGTCCTGGAGCAGGTCTCAGTTTGTTCATATTCTTATTCCCACCTAAGTGAGCCATAGACAGGACCCCAGGTTCAGGGTGGCATTAGCAGAGAGCTCGGTGGCCTTGCTCCTGTAGAGCCCTTTCTGCAGTCATGTCCTTTCTGGGATCTTTATTGTTTATCATTTTGCCTCCCACCACGTGCCCCTCTTCTCTCTCTTCCCAATCTTGGGGCTCACTTTTCAGGTAGAAAACTGAGACCAAAAAAGAGGATGGGGCTGTCCCAGTTCAGGCAGGCCAGGGGTATCAACACTAGGACAGTAACTGAGGTTGCTGAAATCCCAGTGCTGAGGCCTATCCTTGCTTGTCACCTGTTTTTCTTCTGCTTTCTCTTATTCAAATCTTACCCCCCACCGCCAACCCTCATTTTTGGAACCCAGGACTGGGATCTTGGCAATATTCTTAACTTGTGGCTTTGTTGACATATGAGAGGTTATAGATAAGGAAACTGAGACTCGGAAGGGACTTACCCAAAGTCAACAAGAGTGAGTGGCCAGGTCTCCTAGGACTGGGTTTGGCCTTGGAATAGCTGTTTATAGGCCCACATTGGGATAGTGCCTTACAGGATGAAGCAGGAGGATAGCAGTGCAGGAGAATATAGGATGAGGAACTACCTCTGGACATAGCTGTAGAACTGAGTGATCCATTGCAGTCTGAAGAGAAAGAATACCCCCCGTACACACCATGGAGGAGCAGAGGCCTGTGGCAAGAGGTGTTCTAGTGGGCTTGGGTCAAGGTGGAGGTGGATGTGACCATGGAGAATTCAAGCAATGAAAGGAGCCCAAGAAAACCTATGAGATGGTGATGCTAGGACATCTGGTCTGAAGGGCTTGGGAGGTAGTGGGAGTCAAAACCAGGAGGCATGAGAAGAGGGTGGGAGCTGTTGGAGGCTTTTGAGTATTGGTATGTTTGCCAAAGTATAGGCCAAACTGTATGCAACGACAGTTATGTAGTGATTTTGATCCACAACATCTAATGATAGCATCCCATGATTCAACCTAGGACTTCTGGAAGATTCATTAAGGATAGATACAGATTCATTCATTTTGCCATTCATCGATTCATCCTGTATTCACCAGATATTTATTGGGTGCCCATCGTGTCTGGAGGCTGCTGTTTGTTCTAGTGTGTATTGATAGGAAAGGCCAGTGGATTTGTGAGGGAGGTGAGCCTTGTCTCAGGGAAGAGCATGCTGAACAAAGGGAACAGAAAGTACAAAGGCCCTGAGGCAGCAGCATGCCTGGCAGGCAGCTGGTGGAGTAGCAAGGAGGCTGGTGTGGCTGGAGTACAATGAGATAGAGGGGAACAAGTGGCTTAGGGAGCCAGAGCTGGACAGTGTAGTCTGTCATCACAGGACATGGGCTTAGACTTTCCGACATGTGCATGGAATGCCACTGGTGGGAGATGGTAAAGAGTGACTTGGTCCAGTTTCAAATTTAGCAACAACACTCTGACCACAGGGAGGCAAGACTAGGAGTTAGAAGTCCGATGAGTTTTCCAGGAAAGTAGTAGGGACTGCTCAGCCCGAGTGATAGTGGAGATCTGCTTCAGAAGTGAGCTGCCAGGTTGGAGGGAGAATGCCAACCTAAAGGCAAGCTAAGGAGGAGTTACCCTGGCCTGGAGCTTCTGGGATGCTGGTAGTGGGATCAGAAAAAGAGGAGTCAAGGTGAGACCCTCACAGTCTAAGTCAACTTACTTCCCCTTGGAGCTTTGGTTTCTTCATATGTAAAAAAATATCCTGCACAAAGACACCAAGAAGCAAGCCTCAGATTTAGGGTTTCTGGGCTCATCATCAGTGCTCTCACCCCATAACATTGCCCTTTTCTGAGAAAGACCAGCTAATGAGGACTGCCTTGTAGGAGGGAGGGTTAAGGGTGTGGTCTTTTATTGTTGGAGCACTGGTGGTCAGTTCTGGGCTCTGAACAACAGGAACTATGGCCCGCCTTTGAAGCAACTTTCTAGAAGTTCCTCCTACATTGGGCTTATATCTCATTGGTCAAAATGTAGCCACATGACCACATCCAGCTATAAGGGAAGCTGGGAAGTGTAGTCTTTTATTCAGAGCAGCTCCAAGGCCAGCTAAGGATCTGTGACTAAAAAGAAAGGTTTTGAAATATGGATGTGGGAGTGGGCAGCTAGTCTGTGGCATAGGCTCCACAGCCTCTCCAACACTTGGTATTGGCCAGATTTCACATTTTTGCTTAGCGAATAGGTGTAAAATGCAATCTCACCATTGCTTAGATTTGTGTTTCCCTGAGAAGTGATGAAATTGTAATCACCTCTTATATTTAATACAGGCCTCAGATACTGACTCTTACCCAAGTTGCCTGTTCATGTTTTTTGCTCATTTTTCTGTCAGGCCATGGGTTCCTCCAATCCATTTGCTTGTAAGTACTTCATATTTCTGACCTCAGTCTTCTCATTTGTAGAATAGGGGAATCACACAGCCTACCATGTCAAGTGGCAGAGGCATTATGATATGGGAAATAAGACCCTAGCACCCGGTGGGTTGGGGCCATCAGAGGATATCCCTTCTCTACTTCCTGGAGGCCTCTGGTCATCTCAGATGAACACAGACTCAAGAAATTGGGATGCATGATCTAGCTTTTATTCCTGGTGCTACAGAAGCTACAGATCCAATTACTAATCAAAGCTCAGTACTTTGATCCACCTCCCCTCCCCCCCAAGCCCCCAAATC